ACAACATGCATCAACATGATTGATTCACAAAACGATGTTGAGTGAAAAAAGCAGTCACAGAAAAATTCATGTACTCTGGTTCTATTTATATGATATTCAAAAATATTCAAAAATGATCAACATATGTATACATAAGGATACATAAATAGGTGTTAAAACTATAAAGAAAAGCAAGAGAATAATTACCATAAAATTTAGCATAATGTTTACCTGGAAGAGGGATGCAATCTGGGAAGGACATACAGAGTAGAAGAGTTTCTAAGGTACTAGAAATACCCTACTTCTTAACCCGAGTGCTAGATACACAGGTCTTTTTTTCATCATTATTCTTTTTCTTTTTTTCAAGATATCCGAAAAGTTTTATTTGAATGTAACTAAATTAAGGGCCACCATGGTCACACTAGGGAGCCTCCACCGCGCCTTGCAGGGGGCTTCAAGGTGTATGGGAAGTGGTGCCTGCCGGTCGTCCTGAAGTGGGCAGTCTCCATCATTATTCTTTAATTCTCCTTCTACATATACACTCTAGAGAAATGCTTGCACTTGCAGAAGACATCTTATATGTAGGCTTTTGTAGATATGGTATCTTTTTCAGTGTATAAGATTATTCATTCTATGCAGATGACAGAATCAGGTAGATACATATGTACTGACATGGGGAATATGTCCAATGCATATTAAGCGACAACCATATTGCAGAACTCCATAGTATAATCCCATTTTAATAAAAATATTAATGTGTCCATTGAAAAAAACTGAACAATATACAAAAATACGAACACTAGGTATTTCTGGGATGGTATCCACTTCAGAATTATATATTTCTGTGTACATTTCTGTTTCAATATTTTCCGGTAACCTCATTTACTTTCGTGGTCAAAAAAATAACAGTAATAAGGATTATTTTTATATATGTAAAAATCTTTCAAATAAAGGAATACTTATTCTAGAAAGAGGGACTTTTTTTCCTTTTTGCAAGCAGAAAAGAGTTCTATGATGGCCCCCAGATTCTGTAAAGGAGAATTTGTGAGAACAGAAAGCTCAAATTGGGAAGGGCTTCTGGACTCAGGTCCCTGTAATGGGTGGATAGTGAATGGGGCCTGATCAGTCCTTGTAGCTCATCAGCTTTCCTAAGCACACAGCAAACCTAGTTGGTCCTTGCCACTCTCCACCCCCTGCTCAGGAGGTAACTGAGGTCTTGGCCAGCTGCCCTTCAGTCTTGCCCCATTGTTCCAGGTCTCCAGCTGACTGAGCATCTGGCAGTTAAGCCAAAGGCCAACAATGTCCTGACTTCGTGAGTAAACACCTGTGAACTGAGAGAAGACATGGTGAGGCCAGAGCAAGTGCGCAGAGACATAGTACTGCAAGTAACAGAGCAAAAGGAGTGATAGGGATAAGGAAAGCCCAGGAGATCTTGTTCTGGGCCAGCCAGTGAATTGCCCTTTCTCCCTCTAGCCCCCCAAATTTTCCATTGCAAGTGGTGGAGGCTCTTAGGTTCTTGGGCTTGCAGAAGCATGAAGAGGAGTGTGTTCTGTGGCCCAAAAGAGAGTTCAGCTTATCAAGGGCAAATAATTTCAGGCTTGTGCACATGTTGTGGCCTCTGCTTAGAACATTTTCCCTCCATCTTGTCCTAGCTAGCTCCCTTTATTTTCCCCAGAGACAGGGTCTTCCTATGTGCCCAGGCTGGTGTGCAGTGGCTATTCAAGGCATTATCATCACACCCTACAGCCTGGAACTGTTGGCCTCAAGCAATCCTCCTGCCTCAGCCTCCTGAGTAGCTGCAACTATAGGCACATGCCACTAGGCCCAGTCACCTGACTAGCTCCTATTCATTCTTTGGATTTCAAAGTATGGACCACTTCCTCCCATGACCCTACCTTCACCAACTCCCACCACTCCACCTTCACTACCCTTCAAGAAGGAGTTAGAGGCTTCTGCTCCCAGTGTTGTGCTTCCCTTATCCAGCACCATTCCACTCTAACAGTTGCCTATTTATTTGTCTGACTCTCCCACTGGGACTTAAGCTTCCTGAGGTCAGGGACTATGGTTGTCTTACCACTATATCTCTAGTACCAAGATACTCCATGACAGGTACTCAGAAAATGCTTGCTATAAGGATGAATAAAATCAAGGAATGGCAGAGAGGGCCAGTAATAAAGAATCCCTCCACTTGTCTAGAGTGGTGCTCAGCAGCCCAGGGGAGGAGCCTCCCGGGCTAGGGAAAGGAGCACAAGCTTTATCTTCCCTTCTTCTTCTCCCCACTCCTTCCCATTCTTTTGTCATTGCGCCTGTCCCAACACCGCCCCCCACAACCCCCCATCTCCACATCCCATTTGGTGTAAGTTTGAGCTCCCTCTACTGACCAGACTTCAGAACTGCAGGGAGCCAAGCCCAGGTACCCTTGCCTGTTTCATTCATCCCTCTGGACAGACCTTTCTACCCCTCGTCCCCCACTCTAGGTCTCCTAAAGGACTGGAGTATGAAGAGAAAACAGGGCTGGTCATCACACTGGAGGTTTCCAAGGTATGAGCCCACACCTACCCATCCTCAACGCCAGGAGCCCTTCCCTTACCTCATGCTCAGTTTCCCGAGGTCTCCATTCCCAGATTCCTACTCCAGCTAATTCACAGAGATGTTGATTTCCAGAGCCTTTGGCTGATACATCAGCTCTGACTGTGGGAGAGAGAAACCAAGATGGGTTGGGAATAGACAGAAAGACAGAGACCATGAGAGACAAGCACAGAGGAAGGGACGCAGTGGCAGGATATAAACCCACCGTGAGACAAAACAAAGACCAGGGGTGAAAAAGACAGCCCATTAGAGTTGTTACCTGAGCCCTTTCCACCCCCATGGGCTCATAAACCAGGGCCCCTGTCCTCTGAAGAAAGAGTTCCCTCAGCCCTTCAGTCTACCTATGTCAATACAGAGCTAAGGGGAGTTATTGCATTGATCAGATCTTCAGGCTTAATGGAGATATTATTTAGGACAGCTCCTGGACAAGAGTGCTCTCCCAACCCTGCCCCATTCCCCTCAGAAGACCCAGCCTGGAGCTCACATCTTCACTGTCACTTCCACTGAATGGGTTCTCTGGCTCCAGGACCTTCTCAGGGTTGCTTCTCTCCTCCTCTGGCATCAGCTCATCCAGCCAGAGGAGTTCCTGTGGTGAGAAGACCCATTCCAGTGCCTTTCGGACCCCCACCAGGCCCAACAACTGCAGGAAGAGAAACAGCCCAGGGCTGTCAGCAATAGCAGCAGGAACATTAATAATAGTAACATTTATTGAATACTTCCTATGTGCTAGGCATTGTATATCAGCTTCACTGAATGCTAAAACATTCCTATGAGGTAGATGCGATAATTATTCCCATTGTACAGAGAAGGAAACTGAGACCTTGAGAGATTGGTTATTTTCCAGAAGTCACACAACTGGGATGTGATAAGCAGATTGGTTCTACTACAAAGCCCATGGCTCCTAACTTCCTCAGTGAGTAAGAATAATGCCAGAAGCCACCTGTGGTTTTTTGTTTTGTTTTGTTTTGTTTTGTTTTGTTTTTTGAGACAGAGTCTCACTGTGTTGCCCGGGCTAGAGTGCCGTGGCATCAGCCTAGCTCACAGCAACCTCAAACTCCTGGGCTCAAGCGATCCTCCTGCCTCAGCCTCCCGAGTAGCTGGGACTACAGGCATGCGCCACCATGCCCGGCTAATTTTTTCTAGATATTTTTAGTTGTCCAATTAATTTCTTTCTAATTTTAGTAGAGACAGGGTCTCGTTCTTGCTCAGGCTGGTCTCGAACTCTTGAGCTCAAACAATCCGCCTGCCTCGGCCTCCCAGAGTGCTAGGATTACAGGCGTGAGCCACCGCGCCCGGCCACCTGTGTTGTTATTTACTGAGTAACAAAAGGGTCAGCATTTCCTCTCCTAGGACCTCAGTTTTCTTCTAGGTTTTATATTCCTATCTGTGGTTGATCAGCCCAAAGAGGTTGGGAAAGGAGTTGAATCAGGTATGCCAGGACTAGCCCATCTCTAGGTGTCCCTCTGCCACCTTTCTTTGTCTTATGATTCTCAACCAGGCAGAGCCACAGCAAGTGACAGAGAGGAGATTCTTCCTCTTGTGGAGGCCTCGGCCACCCTTCCAGGCTCAGAGTCTCCCAGGGCCCCCGAGGACACTGCCCAACCCTGACCCAAGTCACCATGAGGGGGAAGATGATGGCCGCAGGAGTAGACTTGATTATCCAAAGCAGACCCAGGCAGGAAAGCTGGATGGCTGTGAAGAGGTGGACCCTGTTCAGGGGTACATGCCGCAAGAGCAGCAGGTCTGGCTGATGCTTTGCTGGCATTAACAGTAGCTGCACTCTTTTCATAAACTGGGGGAACAAGAGCAAGGGGAAAGCAGGACATTCAGGTAGCCTGACAGAAAGTTATCACTGTTAGCTATCTCGGCCAGCATGGTGGCAGGGGTGGGGGGGCAGTTGGCTCCCTTGGCTTCTCCCCATCCAGCACATCCAACAGAGTCCCTGTGCCCAGGAGAGATAGGAAAAGAGGAGAGGAGGAAAACTGGCAAGTGTGTAGGCAGGAGATGCCAGCAGGAAAGAAAAAAGGAGTTGCTAGGTGATTTTAATGGGCTCACCTGGATGCTGCTCAGTGCTGCCACCCCCATGTACAAGAAGATGCCGTAGAGCACAGGCATTGGGATGAACTGGTGGAAAGATGTGGAGAGCTGGCAGAGGAGTTTACTGCTACCAGCCGCCCAGATGCCCCACCTTAGGCTCCAACCCCTGCCTAGCATCTAGCATCCAAGCCTGCCCAGGCCTTCCCTTTCCTTTCACACTTTGCATGTCTGATCTCATTGAATCCTCACATCACTCAGAGGAAATAAATTCTATTATTCTCCATTTTACAGATGGGGAAATTGAATTTCAGAGGGATTAAACAACTATCATAGTCCCCTCTGTTCTTTATGCTTCCACTCTACTGGTCTCCTTTCCTTCCCTCAACATGCCTAAGTTCGTTCTGACCTCTTGCAAAGCCTTTTGCTTTGCTATTCTCTCCACTTAAAATGCTCTTTCCCCAGACTTTTGCATGACCAGTTCCTTCTCACTACTCATGCCTCATCTCATGACACCCTAGAAAGGCCTTCACTGACCACCAGATCCAAAGTAGTCCCTGGCACTCTTCATCACCTTATCTTCTTTTATTTTTCATAGAAATTTTCCTATTTCCTTGTTCTAATATTTAAAAATCTATCTCCTCTCACCAGACTGCAAGGATAGAAACATGATCTCTTTTGACCACCATTATATCCCCAATACCTAGAATGGTGCTTGACATAAGGCTTATGCTCTGTAAATACCTGCTGAATGAGAGCCACCTAATTCGTAAGTGGCTGATCCGGTTCATCTGGCTTTTTCTGCTGCTCCACTCTCACCCAGCCTCCATGACCTTTCCCTTCCTTAACCTCTTGTCATCCTGCCAGTGACTCTTGTCTGATACTCTCCACACCCTCCTTGACTGCTTTGCTGTCTTGGCTCGTTGAACCTTTCTGCTATTACTTGTTACTTAATTTTTGTTTGTGTGTGTTGCTGGTGGGAGCTTGGTTCCATAATCCTTTTCAATACTCTACTGCCCCTGACTTCTCCCAGGTCCCTAGCAGAGTCTTGCACACAGCAGATGTTCTGTAAACCTCTGGTGAGGGAAAAGTGAAGGTTTTTGCTTCAGAGTTTTTGTGGAGTGTGACGATCATACTCTTAGGCTTGTTGGGAGGCTGGAGCAAGGGTAGCACTTGGCCCCTAGGGGATGGTGGTGGCACACCCACATTCTGCTCCACTGGGTAGAAAGCCCACTGGATAAGAGTTTGAGTTCTCTGATCTGAGAAACTGGCTCTCTTGGCGGGCTCTTGCAAGTTACTTTCTCTCTTTAACCTTCAGCTTCCTCATTTGTTAAGTACATATGCCTCTCAGGGTTAATGTGAGGATTCAACGAGATCAGACACAGAGAAAACTTAACACAGTGCCTGGCACACAGTAAGTGTTCAATCAGTGTCAGTTCTTGCCATACATATTATTATTACTGCTCTGACCCTGATTCTAGTCTAACAAAGGTACCTTGAGGACAGGTGCCAGGAAGATAGAGACTCCTGTAAGAATGAACACCACCAGGCCTGTCAGCCTCTGTTCCCTGTGGGGAGAGAGAGGAGTTTGCTCTGGTCTGGGAGAGCCCCTGGGGCATCTAGGCTGGAGACCCTGGCCAGACTCCAGTATAGACCCTGGGAGCAAATGGAAACTAGAGGGATACCCAGTAGGTCACCTGGAGGGAGGGAGCCTTAGCTCGATGTGAAAAATTGGTGGAGAGGAAGGGGCGGAGCACTTCAACATAAGAGTCCCAGGTCTCTCCATCAATTCAAGTTCATATTTGCTTTTCATTTTTTTTTTTCATTCTGATGGAAAATTAGCAATGTTTACACTGCTGTGAAGACTTACATTTCACAATTTACAAAGTTGCTTTCATATACTTTAGATAGATTGTGTTTCCAACAGTTACAAAATTGTTTTGGAAATGGATTCCTTTGTAACCTCTATACTGAGTGGGGCACCTACCATCACTTCAACCCTTACACTGATGGTGCTCCTTTTGAGGCCCCTCCCAGTCCCCATGGCTGAAGAAAGAGAGGGGAAGATCTGACTAGCCCAACTCAGAGCCCAGAACCCACCCATTCTGCCACTGCAGTGCTTCTGGGGCACCAGCTTCGAATTAAGCTGCCCAAATAACACTGCCATGTACCTCACTACCCCACCTTGCTGCCCGCCTCTCACTCCAGCCTCCTGAATACTGGCCTCACCTGATGCCCAGGAAGCTGGGGGGCTGCCCGGGGGCACAAGCTCTGCTTTCTCTCCGAAGACTATCCATGTGGGCCAGGGAGATGACGGTGGCTGAGACATACCAGGGCAGCCCAAGTGCTGATGTGAGCAGCATCAGCATAGCCACACAGAAGAGATCCAGATGGAAGCCAGCTCCCTTCTGCAGGTAGTGGTGGGGGCAATGAGGATGAAGCTAGCCCAGGCCTGGTCCCTCTGTCCTCTGAGTTGGGAAAGGGGGAGCTTGGACCCCACCCTGGAGCTTCTGTTCCTAGGGCCTTACCCAGCAAGCCTTACCCGCAGTCTGTATTCCACACGGTTGAGGATGACTGCTGTGATCTGCTGGTCCATAAAGATGAGGATAGACAGCAGCAGGGCAGGTAGGGCAGCTGCCACACTCAACCACCAGGGGTTGGCTCCAAAAGGTGACACCAGCCAGCCACGCCCAGGGAGTGTGGGCTGCAGGAGGAGTATTCCATGGACAGGTTGGAGAGGGTCTCCTAAGAACACCTCACCTGTGCACCTTAGCTTTGGCATTCTTCCACAACCTGCCTCCCTGCCCCCAGCCATGAGACACTGGATGCTAGGTGGGTGTGTGTGCACAGCTGGTTCACAGAATCCCTGTCCCTTAAAAGGGGGAGGGGTACGAGCTTGGAGGTTGGGCTGGAGCCAGGGGCTCTGAACTTTGGTTGAGGGTCCCTCCTTCCCTGGAAGAGGAGGAGGTGGTGGATGGGGCCTGCCAATGCTTCTTGGTATTCAGATCCTTCCTTCCTAGGCACCCCCCTTCAGGGTGGGGCAAGTCAGGCTTAGACCTGCCTTGATCTGGGTCAGGGGCAGGGGAAGGGCTGGGTGTGTCTGCGTCTGCTCTAATTACAAGCGTCTATGTGGGGGAGGGGACCCCAGAGCCTGCCCCAGTTGGAGCCCCCACTGATCTCCTGTCCTGGGGAAAGCTGGAGAGGAGGTCTCCAAATGCATAGGCAAAGTCTAGGAGTCAGTGCTAAGACTTGTCCTGCACACTGTCATGCCCTGGGGAGGGAGCATCAGTTTTACTGGATCAGAGCAGGCAATAGGGGTGCAAAGAAGAGAGTGAAGAGTAGTAGAGTGGGTAGGGCCAGGCCAACGGTAGGGAGAGCCCCTAACAACCATAGCTAACATTTATTGAGGACTTGGTATGTGCCAGGCACTGTGATAAGTGCTTCATGATCTGTAAACCTCAAAACAACTGATGGGGTAGGAACTATTGTCATTTATTATTTCCATTTTATGGATGAAAAAATTGAGGCTCAGAAATGTGCATTAACTTGCCTAATGCACAGCTAGGAAGTGGTAGAACTGGAATTCAAACTCAGGGCTGGCTGACCAGAATCCATCCTCTTAACCTCTACCTTCTAATAATGGCTACTGTGTATTCTGTTCTCACTTATGTGTCTGCTGCAGTACCTCATTTAATCCTCATGACAACTCTGTGAGGCCATTATTATTACTATTTCTAGTTTACAAGTGAGGAAAGAAGCTTAGAGGAACAGAAGTGCGGGATTTATGCATCTTCCTTCTCCAGGGTCTGCTGGCCCTGCTTTCCCCTCTGCACCCTGCCCCCGTTCCCCAACTCTCACCTTGAACTCTCTGGGCACCATGAGCTTCGGAGTGGCTAGGCCCAGGAAGGCATCAAGGCCACAGCACAGCAGGATGGCCAGGACTGAGGAGAAATCGCTGAGTACCTTGCGTACCTGGCCACACAGTGGGTACTCAGTCATGTTCAGGCCTGCCGTCCCCCTCCTTCCACATCTTTCCGGTTCACACACAGGACCCAAGACCAAGAGCCGGGCCTTTCCCACAGAAAGAAAGGTGACACTCACCACAGAGGGGAAGAAGCGTCTGGTCTTCACATGCTTGAGGGCCATGGCAAAGAGGAAGGACGTAAGGAAGAGGAGGAGCGAGAAGAAGGCAACATCTGGGACTGTATGACAGCCAGGGCCACGAGGGTGGCCGCCCTGCCGGACACACTCAGGTGGAGGCAGCAAGGATGCGTTGATCAGGCCTAGGTCCTATATGGAGGGGTGGTCAGGGATGGAGCTACGGGCAGCAAAGTAAATGTCCTGCTCTCCTAAACCCACCTCAAGGGAAGGAAGACCCGCGGAGGAACCAGGGGCCCAGGATGGGTGGTCTCCAGCCATAGAGACCTAAAAATGGCTGAGCCTCAGTGACCCATGAAGGTTTCCCTAGCCTGTGGGGTGGGAAAAGCTAGGAACCAGTACTTTGGCCTCCACCCTTTCTTTCCCAAGCCCTCCTAGTAGCAGTCCCTCACCATGATTAAGATGTCTTCTCTGTCTTTTGGCCTTATCCTTGTCCATTGAGACTCATTTCCTGGGAAGCAGAGAATTCAGGTATATGCCCCCTTCCCTGGGAACCTTCACCAGACTCACAGGATTCTAATCTGATGGGTCCGGCTGAACCATAGAGTTCTTAGTTGTGACTCATCTAACTGCTGACTCCATCACTACCAGGTGTGTACTCCTCAGGACATTGTCTCATGCCCTCATCCCCTCAAATTCTCTACCCATCCGTATCCGTGGTGCCAAGCACAGGACCTGGCCACAGCAGATGCTCAGCAAATGTTGGCTGAATGGATGAGCACACACATCTGTGTGTTTCCACCAGGGCCAGAACTGATCTTGTCCATGCGTAGCACAGAGTCTGGCACACAATAGAGAGGACACATCTTCCCTGTCGTGGTGTTGCCTTCCATGTGGAGGGACATATGCAAGTGCAGCTCTCCAGGCCTCTCTCCTCCTGTTCAGTCACTCTCACCCAGGGGGAGAGCAGTGGTTTATTTGATTGGTGACTTTGGGAGATGAAGCAGAGCATGCCTTCCTCTCCCCTCACTCAGTTGTGAGCTGCCTACTTGGTGTGTGCATTTAGCTCTGCTCCCCTGGGGCAAGACAGTGCTGTCTAGGGCTGCCATGACTGGGTGGGTAAGTCTATCTAATTTTGGCTTCATCATTAGGAAGCCCATTCACCCACAGATATAATGCATGTTCTTTTATCAGTGTCATCAGAAATTAAGACAATATTGGGCCCGCCTTTGTCTTATTTCTCAGTCGATTCAGAACCAGAGTGGGGAAAGCACTGCTGGTTAACTGGGTGAGAAAATATTCAGCATTTTAATGAACTTCACCAGGGGGACAGTCAGGATACACTTCTTCTCCCTCCTGCATCCTTCCTCACCTACCCAAGGATCCTAGTTCCCTCACCTACCTCCTGGGCCTGGGTATTGGCAGAGGCAGCCATAGGCAGGGGACCCAGGCCTCTGGATGGGATAGGCATGGGCCAAGGTCAGCATTTTGCCCATGGCATCATAGATGAAGATGAGGCTGATGAGGGCACAGAAACCTTCCTCGGTGAAGCGGGTGAAGTAGCGCACCAGCACACTGGCCTCTGTGGCCACCAGCACCAGGCAAAAGGTAGCCACCCAGATGCCCACCCACAGGCGGAAGGGCAGGTAGTCCAGGCTATAATCTCTGTGAGGGTGAGAGACAGGCAGGGCTTGGCAAGGCTCTCTGCTCCCCACCTAATCCAGGTCAGGTGCCCCTTGAGCCAGACAGATAGCTCCCACCCTCTCCTATTGAACCAGCCAGGACCAGGCTGACCAGTAGCCAGTGAGAGTCCAGTGAGGCGGGAGGAGTTCTCCTACCTGCTGAAAGAGAAGAGCAGGCGTTCAAAGACCAGCACTGGCCCCGTGCTGCTGAGGATGGTTAGGGGCTGGCCTGCCGTCAGGCAGAAGGCAGCTCCAGCCACCGCTGTGCCCAGGAAACTTTCCAGCACTCCCTGGAAGCCGAAAGGGGCTCAGCACAGGACCCTGTAGTCCTCGGCACAGAGCCCAAGCTTCCAGGAAGCCTCCTCCACTTACCCATAGTCCAGGGGAAGGGGACTAGAAGTCGGGACACCAAAGTTTGTGCCTGCCTCCTTCACACAACCCCACTCACCTGGGCACCGTCCGTGGCATCTCCCAGCAAACCACCAAAAGTGATGGCATTAGTGATGGTGGCCAGGTAAATGTAGAGCACAGCCGAGAAGCACTGAGGGTGCAGGGCGTCCAGGAAATCGCTGGGGTACCAAGAGGCCTTCCTGCGCACGTCCTGGACAAGGCCCCCAAACAGCCTCCCGCCCGTGGGTCGTCAGGATCCAGGTTCCACACCCCACGCCCGCGTCCCCGCTACTTTCCCTGTGGCCGGGTGAGCCCCTGCCACAGTGAGCACACACCTCTGTGCCCCTGTGACCCCAACGCTTGCTCCCACCCAGCTCACCCCACCTGCCGGTCCGCTGCAGCTCCGGGCTGGGCGCGTGCGGCCCGTGGAGGTGTCTGTCCTCAGGCCGGGTCACGTGCGGGGCGGCGAGACCCTTGACCTCGCGCAGTTGAGAGAGGAGCCTGAGAAGGGGAACCTCAGCTTGGCCGAGAATCTCCAACCTGTCCTCCGCTAGGCCCGGAGCTCGTGGCGCCCTGCCCTCTGGCGGCTGCTCGTGTCTCTGCGGCTAGGGACCGGGTTCTGACCGTGGAGACGTGGGCCTCAAGAAGGGACAGGTCATACTGTGACCTGTGAAAGCCAGACTTGGGCAGGGGAAGGTCCTTGTTCAGGTCTCATAGCGAGAGAGTGGTCGAGCAGAACTCAGAGTCAGGTCTGCTGGACTCCAAATCCAAAGATAGGTCCTTTTCTCTTTCCTGGGACCCCGCCTTTCCTCAACAATGGGATTAGACCCAGGGCCTGTGGGGAAGGATCTGGGACGATGGACCCCAGGTACCTTTTGTGCTGAGAAGGCAGACATTTGGGTGGAGGAATACGGGCTGTCGGGTCCCACCGACCTGGAGGGAGCACTGTCACCTCCTCTAAGAAGGTATCTAAGGCTGCCAGAAGGTCATGAAGGTTGCTGGCCCGGCGAACTGACCACTGGAATTGCTGGGAACAGGGGCTCAGAATGAGTGGTAAATGCACATCTGGACTCCTACATGCATCTTTGCAGTCTCAAAACTAGACACACACGAGTCACATAGGCAAACAGGTCTTTCACACGTTCATTCATTCAATGAGTATCTATTGAGTGCCTACTGTGTGCCAGCACTGGGCCAGTAATGGAGCTATACTGGGAGCCAAGGAAACTTCGGTCCCCATGCTCTTGGACACAAAGCCACCCTCCGGGCCTTGTCCACACACAAGCTCACTCACTCACATGAGCCTATGCGCGTGCACATACACACACACCTGCCCAGCTCACCGGGTCGCTGAGGAGGACAGCTGCCGCCCGGCCCATCTCATGGTAACCCTTTGCCAGCATGGGGGGGCCCAGGAGAAGGCAGAAAAACCTGAGGAAGGAACCCGGCCCCAGAGAGGGTCAGAGGCTGCTTTCCCATTGAACAGCCCTGGCCTCTGATGCTCAGCTCTGACCTCCCAACCAGCACCCATCCACACACTTAGGTGCACATCTGCTCTGCATCCCTGACCGCTACCCCTCCCCAGACCTCTGAGCTTCATCCCCACACATCCTCAGAGAATGGGGTGAAGACCCCCCATCCCCTCCCCAGTAGAGGCCCTTCATCTGGGCTGTAGGATCCCTGTATCCCACTCAGTAGCCTCACCTGCTGGGGAGGGGCACCTCAGTGAGGGGCCCCAGCACCACTGGATCCCGCAGTCGAACAAAGGCCCCCAGTGGCTGTGCCAAGGAGCCCAGCTCTCCGGCCAGCACAGTCCCTGCCTCAGCCCCTGGAGGCAGCCTCTGTCTCAGGAGGTTCTGATGCTGAGCGGGAGTCCGAGGAGACACAGAGTATGAAAGGTTATTTGGGGAGGGCAGGATCTCACCTGACGAGGGGTCCAGTGGAGGATGGGCTTCGTTAATTCCTAACCCTTCTCCCAGCCCTGCCCAGGGAAAGGCCACAAACCTGTTCCTTCAAGGGAGCTTCCTCATCATAAGAAGACTTTCTTTGATGGATAGATCCTACAAACCAGGATTATGCAGTGACAAAGAGCACAGGCTTTGCGGGTGGATCCACCAGGGCTCCCTAACCAGTTTTGCCACTGACAAGCTGCGAGAACTAGTGCACACTCTTCCCTCAGTTTTCTCATCACTAAAATGGGGATAATTGTGGCACTACTTACAGGGTGGCTGTGAAGGTTATATGAGATACTGCATGTAAAGCTCTTGGCATAGTACCTACCAAGTACATCCTTCATAGAACTCGACTGTTAAGATTCTTTCCAGTCTTCTCCCCACAGCATCACCACCAGCTTCCTCTAGCCCAGGATGGTGCAGGGGAGATCTGGGACCCTCCCACCCCAGGGTCTTGGTCCTGGGCCCAGGGAGGAGCCTCTCACCCCAGCAGAGCCTGGTGCCTGTGGTCTGGATGTAGTGCTGGGGTCTCTGCAGCAGCAAGGCCTGCAGCTGCCCCCTCAGCTCAGGGCTCAGCGACTCCACCCTGGTCACCTGCTCTGGAGAACAGATATAGGGCTCAAACCCCTTCCTGAGAGTTCCCTGGCCCCCCATTCTTCCCCTTCCCCCTCCACCCAGGCCCCTTTCCCTTCTGGGAGTCTCAGGGAATGCAGGGGCCAATGAACTTGCTTCTCTACTCTGGTTTTCCATCTCTACCCTGTAACAAGGATGGACAATCCCTAGGGTGGAGTGGGGTGAGCTCTGGAAGATTCCAAGACTTTGGGGGAAATCCTAGGAAAATGGCATGGCTACCCAGGCCCTCTCTGCAAAGGATCCCAGCCTACCCACGAGCTCGAGGAGGCTCTGAGCTGGACAGTCCAACAGTACAAGGCCCTCGGCCAGCAGGCTGCGGAGCTTCTGGAAGCTGGGCAGAGCCACGGTAGGCACGTGGGGGGCGCTCCATCGGCCTGCGTCCACCTCCAACTTCTCCTCAAATAGGACCCACCTGTGATGAAGGGGGTAGATAGTGTTATTGGGGGCATCTCTCCCACACCCAGGAGCAGGGACGCAGGGGAGCCAGGGAAAGTAAGGCAATAGGGTCATCCTGGGCCCAGCGGTGTGGAGTAGGCCCCTCCCCTGGCAGTCACCCCTCATCTTGGGTCTTGGGGAACTCAAAACTAGACTGTAGAGGAGGCTGAGTATCATGGAGGGTGAGTCCCCAAAATAAGGGAATACAGAGAGGAAAATCCTAATTTTTGGTGAGAAGCAGCCCCACAGGAGGAACTGAAAGTCATGGAGGAGGCCCCAGCTGGGGAAGGGGAAGGACTTCATACAACTGGCCTCGGTCCCACTCACCTGCCTGTCTCTCTCCACTCCAGCGCCTGGGGCCAGCCCAGCAACTCATTCAGCTGAATGAAGAGCAGAGGGTACCCCCAGTTCCCTGCTGTCTGTGTCTGAGGGGCCATCGGGGCTGGGGCCAGGGCCAAGGCCACTACCCAGCTCCCCTGCAGGAACATTTTCATGAGCACTAGAGGCTTCAAACTCCTCCTGGCCTGGCAGCTTCATCCTGGTGAGGCTTGCATAGACTCTCAGAACTAGTGCGGTCCTAGGTTCTAAAGCCAGGAGCCCTCTGGCTGTCTACATTTATAATGCACCTGCCCCCGCAGCACAACACAAACAGGGTGAGGCCTGTTGACTCCAGAGCCTGCCGGTCACCCACTTCCCCCACTTGCTTCCCCCACCCCCTGCTGGCCTGAGAGTGTTTGCAAGGCTAACCTGGCTTTTTCCAGGCTCTCCAAAAATGCCCAACCTGGGGCCAAAGTGTGTGTGTGCATTTTCTCTGGGATCAGGTCTGACCCCACTGTGTTTTGTATAAATAAACAGGAGTAAATGGCTAGCCTAGGCCTGAGGACTAACACCCCCATGTTACGCTGCCCCCTAGCCTGTATCAAATACAAACACCAAACACCCGGGACTGTTTTGGGTGTCACCAACACACCCTGGGGGCCACACACACACTCATTTGGACAAACAGAGACCTAATAAATAACTAGTCTGTAGAGACTAGGCGGGGTAAGGGAGAGAGTAGGTAGAGAGCCCCCGCCCATTAAATGGGCTAATAATGAAAAGTAGAGGCAGTTCATGGAGAACACAATGTCTGAGTCTTAAATTCTTTTGTCTAACGACACCTGGAAACTCCCCAATTTAGCTGTGTCCCTGGAGTCTGCCCCTCTAACTCAGCCCCCCAATGAAGACGGAGGAGCCAACTAGGGTGTGTGAGTGTAGGAGTTCCTGGAGCTAAATGAACAAAGGAGAATGTGGTCCATTAACATGTCCTGTTGACTCTACCTTCAAAACACACCCAGAATCCAACTACACCTTCCCACCTCCAGCACAACTACCCTGATCCAAGCCACCATCATTTCTCACCTGAATTATTTCAATAGCCTTCTAATTTCTTGCGATAATCTCCCTGCTTCCATTCTTCTTCCCTTGCCCCAAGTCCATCCTCCACACGCAGCCATACAGGTCCTTTTAAAAGGCCATCGAGCTACATTACTCTTCTGCTCAATATTTACCCAATACATTCCCATTACTCCTAAAAGAAAAAATCAAACTCCTTGTCATGGTCTGCAAGATTTACAGTCTGACCCCAGCTCACCTCTCTTACCACATCTCATTCTCCTCTTGCTCACTCCTTTCTAGCCACACTGGCTTTCCATGGGTTATACAAAGTCTGTTCCTGCCTGAGCGTCTCTGCAGGACCTGTTCCCTGTGCAAGGAAAGCTTTTCCCCCAGATCTTCGCATGACTGGACCCCTGTCGCTAGGTCTCATCTTAGACGCTAGCTCCTCAAGGAAACCTTCCTTTGCCATCCTGTCCTAAGTTTCCCTCTTGGGCCACGCTCCATCACATTTCTCTGTTTTAGTTTCTTCCTAGAAGTTATCGCTACTCGTAACTGTCTCATTGATTTATTGATCATTTATTGCAAGAGATTTCTCTCGCATTTATTGAGAGATTTCTCTCTGAGAGACAGAAATGTACAGTCCGTGGAGCAGGTATCTTACCTGTCTTCCCCGCTGAGCCTAGAGCAGCACCTGGCACATAGCGGCTCTCAATAAATATTTGTTCAATGAGTGCATACGAAGGACGGGGCTGAGAAAGGAGCCGCGCTTCTCCTCGAGGCCACACGAGGGCGCTGCTCCCCACGGACAGGATTGCTAGGGCCGCTCCCTTAGGCCGAGCGGCTGTTTCCTCTGCAGACCTGCCTGGGCGCCAAGATGGCGAGATGGCCAGGAGGGGTCCTCGATCCTTTGCCTTGCCCTGGCCCACCGCGGATTGGCCCGGAGGGATGGGGGTGTGGAGCACCACAGGATGGGGATGGGAGATCCAATCAGGCTCATCTGAATGTAGGTCAAACACCTCACTGAATACCAGGAATCCATCCCCTGAGATTTGGGACCCAGGCCAGCCCTCCCCACCAAACCCAGGTCTTGTCCTAGGAGGTCCCGGGCAGGAATTAGAGGAGAATGTCACTATATTAGTAGTTGGGGAGGGGTGTTGAGCCTGACGGGGGAGTTGGTTTCAGTCCCAGGAGGAATAGAAACTGGCTTAGGGCCTGAAAGGGCCCTGGAAACCCTGTGACTCTCTTCAAGAATGTGCCCCAGCCTTAGGGGCAAGTGACTCAAAGGAGTCTGAGGGGGATGGGAGCATGGGCTTGGCATGAATAACTGCCCCCCCACACACACACACATCCTCCCTCCACACCTCAACTCCTGCCGAAGTTCAGAGGGTCTGTCCTTGCCCTCTCTGTGGCCCCCAGCTACCCTGGCTCCCAGGGCTGCCCAGAGTAGTGGGCCACTACTACTCCACTCTCTCCGGACCCCACTTCCACCTTTGGGCCTGGGTGTCGTGAGCTGGGTAGGCTGGTGAGGGACGTGAATAGGAACCCCAGGTCTACCTATGGGTACCAGTGGTCTCCTAGGCAGGGCCCGGTGAAGGTGTGCTATGTGGGAGAGCAGCCCTGGATGTGGGTGCTGGAAAAAACCCTGGCATAGAAGATCAAAAACTGGGTTCTCATCCTGACGTCATCACAGACTTAATTGATGTCCCTGAGCAAGGCGCTTTCCTTCTCCAAGCCTCAGTTTTCTTACATGTTAGTGGAGACAGATGGAGTAGATGATTTCCAAGATTCAAAGCATACCTTTGGCAGCACACTGAGTGGACCCTGAGGGAGAGGCTGTATCCTCACAAACTGCTTGGGTGTAAATCCTGGCCTGGTCACTTTCTAGCAAGTAGGGAAGAGGTCTTTGCTGGACCTGAGTTTTCTTATGAGCAAAAGGGAAATAATAAAAGCACCCATTTTATAGGCTTTATTAAATGAAATAATGTATGTAAAATAGACCTGGTACTTAGTATACACAAAAAAAGGAGACGATTATTATTATATAACTATGAAAATAAGTCACTTCCACAGTGGGGAGGAGAGGAACTGCCTTTACTGAAATGCTGATTGTGTCCAATCACTGTGCTAGGCACATTATCTC